CATCAAAACCCTCAACTAAAAAAATATGAAACTATAAATAGAACATACACATTTAGATAATTTAATCCTTATTTTGACAGAGAAAAGCTTATGAAGAAGAGATAACCTAGAATTCCTGACCTAGTAAGGTTAGTCCCAATATAAGAGGTGCGATTTGTTTTGAAATGACAATATACATCTTAAGTCCCTAAAGGTTTTGCAACACAAACAAAATTTCTTCCATAAATGGTCCCTTGGTACATATATTGTGTTACTATACCTGAGAGAAATGCACTTTCTTTGCTTTTCAACATATTTACATGTAGTTTTCCCATGTAATTTGGTAAGATATTAGTGTTATCTGATTCTTGTATCTATATGATTAGTAATTTAGGATTAATCCTAATCCAGGTCAAAAAAAAGAAAATTATCTTTTATCTAGATTATGGGGGAATATTAATATGAATTAAGAGAAGCCATTTGTTTCATATTGGGCAATTTTCCTGATTTAACTTTTGGATTGGATTGGATTGGATATATTTGGTGTAAACACCAAGGATAGCCCACGAAAGTCTAGAAAAAGACTTATTTCCAGTAGGGTCCTTCTGGTGATGATTGGGCAGTACACCGGGAGACAATCCCCTACTCTTTTCCGAATAGTGTACTGTGTCCTTTAACGTGCATATGGGCCATAATGCACACGGGACCAACGGCTTAAACGTCTCATCCGAAAGACACTGATAACTGGTATTTCAGCCCTCTAGCTGAAACACAAGGAGAGGCAGCGATGGGAATTGAACCGGGGAACTAAAGATCTCCACGGTTCAGCGCACACACAGCGGCTACCACCAGATTAGCCGACTGAGCTAAGCTGCTTTTATAGTTTTAATATAGGCCTACAATTTGTTCAAATTCATCATTTTTATTTGCCTAGTTATATTTACAGATACTAAAATTCAAGGATGTAAGGCATTAAACTGGTTAAAATTACTAAAATGTTCCACGAGAAATTAACAAGGTACCTTCACTAATGTATTACAGTACAAAAAAGTTTTAAAACAAAGTTGGTTTACTGTATACAGAATTAATGTCTGGAAAACAACTACTTTTTGAACTTGTGTGGTGAGGGGGAAAGGAATTGGTGTGCGATATGACATGGCCTGGCAGATATGTAGAGCATACAAACTCATGTTTCTATTGAATTTTAAAGAGTAATATTATACCTGGATATAATGTAGGGCCTACTGAAACATGATACACATTTGAGTCCCTCTCTTAAGGGTTGGTTTCATTTTAACCTCCATAAAATAACATGATTAAACATAACATAATAGGACACACACTTTTCACTTTCATGCCACCCAATTTTACATGTTTTGCATCTAAGGCCCTATAAAAAATATTATTAGTTTATCACCCTATCTGGGCAGGAAAAGTGATGAGGGAGGGAGGTTTTGTTTTTTGAAATTTTTATTTTGCTAAAGCCAAATATTACCCTTGGGTTGTTTGCTGGTACATTGATATTCAAAGTAAAACATGATTTAGATAAAGCAAACAATATCTACTAACTATTTAATAAAATAAATGAAAAAAATAAATAAATAAAATAAAAAAATAAAAAATTTCAAAATTTTATTTTCATTTTTTTTTTTCAAAATTTTTTTTCTTTCCAGTACCATAGAAGGCATGCGCACGAGGGTGATAAACTAATAATTTTTTTATTGGGCCTAAAATGCTAGCTATCCACTTATTTACATTAATTACCACTTGTGGAGGATATTAATGATGGTAGTTTATGCTGAACTTCTTTTGAACATGGTTTCACAAGCAATATACCAGGAAATGGCAGCAAGTAGCTCCCTAAGGCCAAACTTTTTTAACCCACCGGCAGCCAATTTCAAATATAAATTAATGTATATTTTTTTGGGGCTGTTGCCTTGAAAAAGATACAAGATTTCTGGAAAAACAAAAATTTGAATATTATTTATACTAAACTGTTGAAATTACATCGCATTATTTTCAACCAACTCTGGTCAGAGGGACAAAGCAAATTATTTAATGAACATTAAGGGCCGCACTGAAATTTTACGTTTTCCAATCTGCGCTTAAATTGTAAATCAATTTTTCAACTTTAAAACGAAGATGTTTTAAAGTACACTATATTATTATTATTATTGTACTTTTTTTGATAAGTACTTTTTACTAATGATAGGTAAAGGGCCATAAAAAATGTGGAAGTGGTTGGTGCATCGGTTGTGGTTTGGACTCCCAACCTCGAGGTCGGGGGTTCAAAACTCTCGCTGTGCAGGTCGCTTGTGTCCTTGGGCAAGGCACTTTATCTATGGTTGTCTCTCCCCACCCAGGAGTACAAGTGGGTACCTGGTAGGTTCAAACAGAGCCTGCGCTGAATACAGCTGCAACATTATGGAATTCCCCTATGGGGCTTCAGTGTGTGTTCCATATGTGCTTGATCCAGTGATCCGGGGGTAACAATGTTCAAGCGCTTCGAGGTTGTGTCAATGGGAGGCGCTATATAAATCCAGAATTATTATTATTATTTATTATTATTATAATAACCGAGTGTTTTAGAGCCAAGAATGGTAGGTGGGCTGCAACCAAATTGCCATTGGGCCACACATTGCCATATGTATTTACAACTCACACAATACACTGGTAATTGTATTGCCATTACTTGGGGCCAGGCCTAAATATAAAATATAGTGGTAGGGTTGTAGATGGAATATCAAACGTTAAATAATTTAAAGGATGAGATCAGTTTATTTTTAACTTCTGCATAGAATATTAAAACCACAGCGAGATATGGTCTAGCTAGCATTTTCAAAAGGTATACAGATCTGAAACCAATAATAATGAATGAAAGAGTTGAAGGATTTAAGTTGGAGGAAGTTGTTATATTTTCATCTGATTTTACAGTTTATTATTCAATGACATTATACTGAACTTATAATTCTGCCTTACAATATGAACCATGCTTTTGTAGGTGGTTACAGAAAAAGAACTGTGGCGGAAAAAAATTACAAGGCTATTTAGACAAGTAAATTAAGTTTATAATGCCTTTGTCAAAAAAAGTTAACTGTTGTACACGGATAGGAGGAGCCAATACCTAAATGCTATGTATTGTATGAATGGAAGAACACACAGCATAGCCAAGCATACTGCTGGTTACTCTTCTGGAAGCACAACCATAATCAATGGACTATGAAACTAAATATATCAATGAAAATTAATTCAAGCATATAAAGAGTTAAGAGCTCCTGTGTTGCACAGGTACATTATACACAAGCTCGCACAGCAGCCACATTGTCAAAATCTGTGACAAAACAATTTTATATTTCTGAATTCTCACAGGAATTTGTGAAAAAAAAATGCGGAATTATTTCATCTCTAGTTAAATGAAGCACAGTCTAGCTATTAAAGATGCTTATACAAATGGTTGAAAGAAAAGATAAACATAATCTATTTCACTTTAAAACTAAGAAAAAATAAACAAATATTGATTTGTATTCTAAGCAGAGAATAAATAATTTGTTGGAGATCAATTTAAGGCTTTCCATACTAAGCAATGACGTAGCCACGATTTTCAAACAGTACGGGACAATATCAGGGTGGACTCATTTTACGCGTAAATTCAAACAATGTGGACCCATTTTATGCAAAAATAATAATACCATGTCTACTGTTTGGTTGTATTATTGCTGAATGAAAAGTTATAAAATCTTTGAAAATGTTTACGTTTTTCTATTGTTTTGTCGGTGTTTCTGTTTGTTTTTTACCCTAAAAATGAAATGTTCTTTTTAGTGCTTCCAAATGGTAATACAACAGTAATGTTTGGTGATTGGTACGAAATTCTGTCAGCTTAATGCTCATCATACAATAATGAGTCAACTGAAACAGATTTCACTTTTATTTCCGAACGGTACTGTTCATCACTCGTTTAAATTTGATTTAAAAACATTAATATTAGTAAATAGAATACATTGTTTGAATTAAATTATTTAAACTAAAATAATTTCATCTGGAATATGGGTTTAACTCATATATTTAGCCAATTCACTATACAATCCAAAATTTGAAAACAGCGTTTCAATTTAAAAGTAGTAGAAGTCAACGGAAAATTTAAAGGATGTCATAGTTTACAGTTAAGTCAAATTTATCTATTTATGTTTGAATAATTTATCTTAGTTTTTGTATTAAGAAAGATAGGTAGGTAATGTCAAGAAGCAATATTTTGACCTACTAATTTTACATCAACCTGGTAAACAACAGTATTTCATTATTTTATTTGTATCCATCAACTAGAGTAGCAATCAATATCAATAATATATACTGTCTAAATACTGTAGTTATTCAAGTAAACGCCCCAGAGCATTTATTAGTGAAAAGGCTTTTTGGAGGTGTAGTTGATTCATGGGAGGTGTTTATTTATTCTTTTTGGTGTAAAATGGATACATACAAACTAATAAACACCCCTTAATTTCACTGTAAATGTGGAACTACAACACATACCAGTAATTACCCTCAAAATAATCATAAAAAGTTATTGATCCCAACCAGGTTAGTAAAAAATGCAATTCTACTGGAGTAGAATATAATTAGGATGTGTTGAGAAAGATGTTGCTTTGTCTTTCTTTGGAATGCTCTGCCTATTACAATCCGACAGGCAACTTCCTTTGATGATTTTAAGGCAGCTTTAAAAACTCACCTTTTTAACTTGTATTTTTCTTAATTTTTTTTCCCGAATTTTATTTTTACTGTTAAGCGCATTGAGGCTTTAGCATAATGCGCTATATAATCCAAAATTATTATTATTATTATTAATTAGATATTTTTAAAGTCATTTGGGAGGGGGGGGATGTTTATTAGGAAAGGCTTTTATTCAAATAAGGCTCCGGAGGTGGAATCTATTTGAGGGAGAGGGGAGTTTAATAAAAGCAGGGCATTTATTTGAATGAATACAGTATCTTTGAAAAAAAAAAACACTTTTGTTTGGTAATTCTTACCTTGAGTGAAACTATCAATGCTGACATTTCCCATTGCAGAGTTCATTATGTAGCCATTTTTTGGTTGGATTGTAATTGTATAAGTGAGCCCACCATTTTCACTGTCCCTATCTTCTGAATTGAGATACTTGTTGGTGATGAGAAAGCCAAGTTGACCAGTTGGTCCAATGTTTCCCACCGTCGATCCACCACGATTGACAACCATCTGTGGGACACCGTTGTCGACAGTAATTATGTTAATTGGCATACGTTGTGGGGTGCGGGTTGTTGTAACAAGTTGAGGGTAGACGTAGAACTCATTATGTGTGCCGTCTGAGATTATAAAGGAGAAGCTATCGGTGGTGGATGGTGTTCCATCGTTTTGGTAACTGATCAAGTTGTTGTTCAGATCTTCCATAGTAAAGCTTGTTACGATGTCAGAGTTGTTAAACAACAGATTACCATGCACAGGTAATTGGGTGATTGTGACTAGAAGGCGTTCATCACTGGTGTCACGATCATCGATTCGAAGTTCAAATGGAGTGATCAGTTTGTTTTGTCCCTCATTTAGAGTCAATGGAAGAATGGTAACAACAGGTTTCTTGTTATCAACATCACTGAGTGAAATTCTGAATGTACGCACAACAGTGTTGAGTCCATCTGTCACTTCAAACTGGAAGCTATCCATTTTTACTTCTTCATCTGAGGTGTGAACATAGTAGATCTTGTTGCCAGCCAGATCAAGTTGTGTAAATGATGTAATTGGAACACCTGGCATGTCTGTGCTCTCCAGGTGACCTCTGGATGGTGCTCTGGTAATGATAAATGTCAGGTCTTCATCAGGGCTGTTAATATCACTTGTGCTCAACAGACTGGTTGTAAGGGTCATTCTTCCACCTTCTGGTAGGGTCAGGCCTTTGTTTACAACAACTGGGTGAACATTATCTAGTTTGTTGACAGTCACATAGAAATACCTGTCGATAAGTGGGTTGGATCCATCAGTGATATCAAATTTTATGAGATCTCTTACACCAGCATCTCCAAGATGGACATATCTGATGAGCCCTTCATCAATTTGCCACTGCTGGAAAGTGCTTCCAATAGTTAAATTTTGTACGGGAGCACCATCTACCGAGAGTAGCTGTAAAACACCAAATTCAGGCCCATATCGTACCTCGTACGTAAGGTTGGCATCAATAGAGTCGAGATCTGTTGCTTTAAGTATACGGTTAGTGATTACTTTGGTCTCCTTAATATCTATGTTGATGCCATTGTTTATGGTCAAACGGGGTGTCTCATCATCCATGGTGGTAATTATAATTGGCATAGTTCCAAAAACATCATATTTTCCATCAGTTAAACGGATTTCGAAGGAATCTTCTGTGGTTTCAGTGTCATCATGTTCATAATAGATAAGATTAGATTTAACCTGATTTAAGGAGAAGTTGCTTACTGGTATCATGCCACTTGATTCTTGGAAAACAATTTGACCATGTTTAGGAGGAGATACTACAAAAAAGTGAAGTTCTTCTTTTGGTAGATCAGCATCTTCTGCATCCAATCTAATCTCATTGATCACTTGCCTCATACCTTCTGAAACCTGGAGTTGAGTGATGTACAACTCTGGTTTCTCATCATTTGATGGTGCTATACTGATGAGGAAGAAGTAATTGTCTGAGTAGTTGATACCATCAGTACAACGATATGTGAAACGATCTTCTTCAGGTTCTCCACTTTTGTACATGCTCTGTACGTAATTGATGTGTCCCATTCGCAAATCCATAACTGTGAAAGATGAAATTGGTCTTCCAACTCTTGATTTCTCAGAACCTGGAGCAGGTGAGATGTTCTCGATATAACCATTATTTGGTTGGGTCACTATCATACAAGTAATGTCATCAACATTAGTATCAGGATCGGAAACAAGAATGTTATCCAATGTCATCTGACCCTTGCCAGCTTCATCAACGAAGAGGAAGTCTCCAAAGGTTACATTTGGTGGTACACTGTCAACTGGCAAGATTGTAACGAACACTTCAATTTGAGTAATTCGGTTGCCACCACTAATAAATTCATCTGACATATCAGACAATGTTAAGTTGAAAGAATCTTCAGCCATGGTTGGTCCAATCTCACCTCCAGTATGACGGTAGCTAATAAATCCATTTACGATATCCTGTTGGGTGAAACTGTTAACTTGAACACCCCCATTTTCAATTACTCCCTTCTTGGGTGGACTGTCAACAATGAACATCAGCATAAGATCTTCTGTATCAGGGTCTGATGCACTTAAAATGTTTGATGTAATAAGACTTGATGATCCTTCTGGCACTTCAATGTAAGAACCAAGGGTACCTGGTGGTAGGTCAATAATTGGTTGTTGATCATCCACTGGTCTAATTTGGATGTTTATTGTGATTGGCATCTTGTGAACTCCATCAGTCACTTCCAACCCTATAGAGTCACTGAGCGCTTCAGATCCACTGTTGGTGTAAGACACTCTTCCATTGACGATGTCATCATAAAGAAAGTATTCACCTTTGACCATTGGAACTGAGTTTAAATTAATAGAACCATGTTTGGGCTCATCCACAACATAGAATCTAATTTGGCTTAAGTCTGTATCTTCATCAGTAACATCTAGATTTAAATTAGAAAAGACAATTGATCCTCCTTCAAAAATGGTTATTCCTGAGTTAGTGATTGCTGGAGGTTTATTGTCGACTGGCAAGAGGAAGATTGAGAATAATTGACCAGATAATATATTGCCTTCTGTATCTTGCACAGCAAATGCAAATTCAATCATACGTGGAGCAATACCAAGTTCTGAGCTTGGTGGTTTGTAAGCAATTTTCTTGTGGTTGACCATGGCCTGAGAGAACTTATAAGCAACAATACTAGGATCTTCAAACATGACAATTTGTCCAGCTGGAAAGGGGTTGTTGGTGTCAACATCATAAGGCTGGGTGGTTATTGTATACTCAAGGTCACGATCATCACTGTGCAAGTCTGTATAGCGAAGCTGATTTTTCAGAATTGCTGCCAGTTCGAATTCATCTACTGTTAACTGCAATGTGGTGCCTGGGTATAGAAATGGTGGCTGATCATCTACAGGAAGTACTTTTGCAATGAATGTCTGGACTGGTGAGAGATTTGGTGGAATATTATCATCACCAACACGGAACAAATTCTGGTCCATCACAACATCAGTACTTATTCCACCAATATGGCGATAGAAGATGAGCCCATTGATAATGTCTTCTTGGGTCCACTGGTATACAACTTGCTCATAAACATTATTTCTATACTCCCAGTTTTGGGGATCTGCTGGTGCATTTACAACACGGCGAACAATTCGACTTTCTAATGAGAAGGGTGGTTCCAAGTAGTAAGTAATTTTGCTATCATCAGAGTCAATATCAGTAGCACTCAGGATAAATGGAGTAATTGGATAATATTCACCCTTGTTGAGAGTTATTCCTGTATTGACATTGACGACGGGTGGTTCATCATCTTGTTGGCGGATGTATACAGGGAAGAGGAATTCAACTTCATGCTCTCCATCTGTCATCCTAAAAACAATGTTATCGGAGGTTGTGTCAGAGCCATCATGGTGATAGGTGACAACACCAGCATCCAAGTCATCAATAGTAAAAAACTTTTGTCCACTTACACCATTGACTTGAATTTCACCATGAACAAGTCCATTTATTGGAGTGATGATTACATCTTCACGGTTATCTTCATCAGATATTTGTAAATTTTGGGATGTTAAGAAAGCTCTAGACTGACCTTCATAAAGTATCATACCAGTATTTCTTGTTACAACTGGTGCTAGAGTGTTTTTTGGTTTCACAGAAATAAAGAATTGCATTGGATCTGATGTGGCCAGCTCAGAATCAACAGCTTCAAAGTCTACTGTAAAAATGCGTTCTTCATCAGAGTCTTCAGATGGTGGTACATATGCAATCTTAAGGGCAAAAACATCTCCTTGAGTAAAAGAACTCAAAGGAAGGTTACGGTCATCTGTGCTGACAATGTATCCCTCACCTTCTCCAAGTGGACTAGTAATGTTAAAAACAATATCATTAAATGGGGTACCATCATCTTCAGCTCCAAGTTCAAGAGGTGTAATGGCAGTCATCACAAACTGGTTGGCCTCCATGACCATGATTGCTGTAGGGATTGCCTGGGGTGGTTTGTTGGCTTCTCCTGCTAAAATACGTACAGTCATTTGAAAGTATTCTTGTTTCAATGGGCTATTGTTCATATCATAAAGCTGAACCAACATTGGGATGTAGTCCTCACGGGGTGATTTTTCATCATGAGTATGAACGTACGCAACTGAACGATTTAGAAAACTATCACAGTCATACCAATTTCCACGTTGAATAGCATTATTGATTTCTCCATATCGGGGAAGTCCAGTAGCTGAAGTGAGCACAAGTACCTTACAAATTTCATTACTGCGATCATAAGAAAATGTAAGCTTACTATTATCTATAAAGTCACTGGTTCCTTGAAGGGTTTGAACCGCTAATGGGATGTTCTTTGTGACAATCTCGAGTTGCTTGGACTCAACTCGAACTTCCATCATGAAAGGAATGATGAATGTTTCATCTTCTGTATCATAACGCAACTGCAATTTTACCCTATCCATTTGAGGTTTTCGGGCACCAAAATGGGAATAACTCAATTCATTAATGCCAAACTGACACGGGAATGGATTAGGAGAAAGACGTCCAGGGACTTGCGATAGTGGATCTTCTAAAATATACACTGTACAAGTATCTCCGGGTTGAACATTTATTTTCAATTCACTCTCTGGATCTACGAAATGCTGACGTCCAAATGGGACAGAAATACCTGTATTTTTAGCGATAATCGTCTCAATGAAAGGAAGATCAGGCGGTAGCTGAGGTTCGGGTACGTCCCCACGAGTAGAAGATGCCACTACGGCTGTATTCGAAACTCCAAAATTAGCACTTGAGCTTCTGAAGAAGCACATTGCTGTTAGCGCAATGAATTTCCAACTAGCCATTGTGATAATAAACAGGGCTAGATTACAAAAATGCCAAAACTGCTTTTATAAAAAGCAGGCACTAAACTCACAGTTTTGGAAAGTTCACCGAGCCCGAAATTCCTTCTCCAGCACAGCAAACTACTCCCGCGGCCGCCAAGCATCGAGTGACAAACCAAACTGAAAAACTTCAGTTTATGTTCGCCGCTGAATCGGCTTAGCAAGTCACCAGTTGTTTCTGTCACTCAATACAGTATTATTACTCCGCCAAATGCACTCGGGTCTACACAAACTAGTCCTAGTCTGATGTAGGTTCTACCATGGAGGTATTATACCATGGTTCTACACAAATAATAATATTAAACTTTCTTGACAAATTTGTTGGAAATTATTATTTCCAAATAAATCGTGTATTGTTAATGTATTCTGAATGCTATTAAACTTACAGTTATTATCTTTGAGTAAACAGGCTAAGGGGCGGAGTCTAGTTAACTTGAGCGAATCACGCTTTGGCCTTCTCTCTCACACTATAGAAGACTTGAAGTATAATGCATACTCCAAGATCGAAATGCATGCCATCGTGCATTTCGATACTTGGAGAGGCCTATGTATTACAGGGCCTACTATCTTATCCGAGATTAATCAGTGAACCTTTCGGTTTTTATATAAAGACTTGCGTACTCGATTTTGAGTAGAAAACTGCAGTGTATGAGAAGAAGCGAAAATGTCATACTTGCTCATACTTTGCAGTGGTAGTTACCGCCTTGTAAAACGATAATAATGACGTTGTAAAATTAGTCTCATATAATATAATGTAGATTTTAATAATTCCAACAGCATAGGCCTAATGATAATTGATAATTTTTTGACGGTTTTATGGTTGTGTTGTGCTTTCTATGCTTAATTGTTCCACTAGCGTCATGGAGTTCGTTTTCATATTAGGAAAATAATAATAGATTGTTCAGTTCATTACATTTAGGCCTATATGTCTCATTAAAATCATTAGAAAAAATAAAAATAAGAGCAAAGTTAAATGAGACTGGCTTTTCAAAAATAGATTCAATATTACAAACTCAATAAAAATCAGCAATAGAATAATATAAACAAAGTTCATACAATATATAGGTCGAATATAATAATAATAATAATAATAATAATAATGCAGTAATAATGCTAATACTAACAAACTAACAATAATAATAATAATGATAATAATAATAATAATAATAATAATAATAATAATAATAATAAAGTGTAATAATAATGATAAAAAGATTATTTTGTTAATATTTCAGATTAAAAAAAACTCAAAACTCAAAACATGTAGGTCTACACTAATAATAATGAAAATAATAACGATCAAACGTGTCACAACTGCGCACAAAAAGGTTTACTGATGCTCATGAATAAAACAACAGTACAGAAAATTTTGTTAGGAACGATTCAGTTGTAGTTCAATTTATAGCGTAAAAGTTTAAGCCATACCCCACAGGAAATTGTTGAAAATAAAAAATATTTTTAAGTAGTTAGGACTCTCATCATTTCACCTATTATGCCTGCTAGTACCACTCACTTTTTCATTATCCCCTGCTCCTAATCTTTTCCCAACCCTATCAGCACCTTGTTAATATTTAACCATGGAGGAATAAAAATTTAACATACGCTACAACTCAACTAATAATCACATTGGACCTTGCAAATGAAATACATTACAGAGGGCGCTATATCATTTAAAGTCATTCTCAACTTCTGTCTCTTGTATGCTAATAGCCACAATTTTTTGTTAATGGATATGAACACAGAGCACATAAGCCTTACTTAAATTAACCACTAGACTGAGGCATAAACTAAACAATTATGTTAATATCATAAATATTAAATAATAACACAAATTTAATTATTTTTAATAAAGGTTTAGGCCACATTAAGTTGACAGATCCTTAACATAAAAATGATTTAAAAATCGACCAGTAAATTTAAAGTACTAAATGAAAAAAAATTACAGATTGTGGTCGATTCAGACCCAAAAACACTTTAATTGCTGGACCTCCATCATGGGTGTTTTGTTTGGGCTGTTGCTGTCACTCCACCTAGAACTAGAGTACAGTATAGTTTAGCTTCAGATAAGCTGATTACTGTTTAATGGCCGACCACTGTCAGTTAGAAAAATCATCAAGTAACTTCTGGATGATTTACATTTAAACTTATATAGGAAGAAATACAACTAGTTGGCCTAGGCCTATTATGTGAGGAGGGAAGCCCGAAATATTTTTACAATTTATGGGTTTCAAAGCCTTATTTAATCGATTTTAGAGTCAACTAATATGTACAAAATACATATAATTTTTTTCTTCTTCCTAACGAATGATGGTGTTTCTCCCCGACGGGGGAGGGGAGCAGCTATCCCGAAGGGGGCCTGGCGGCACCCCTCTTTCTTACTATTGAAACTGCATTACGATGTTCGGAACTTCGTATACAACTTTACCATTATCCTAATTTGTAAGGCTGTTGTATTTATCGCATA